GTCCTGTGTGTGTGTGTCCAGAGTGTGTCCAGAGTGTGTCCTGAGTGTCCAGAGTGTGTCCTGTGTGTCCAGAGTGTGTCCTGTGTGTCCAGAGTGTGTCCAGAGTGTGTCCAAGAGTGTGTCCTGAGTGTCCAGAGTGTGTCCAGTGTGTCCAGAGTGTGTCCAGAGTGTGTGTCCAGAGTGTGTCCAGTGTCCAGAGTGTGTGTGTGTCCAGAGTGTGTCCAGAGTGTGTCCAGAGTTGTCCAGAGTGTGTCCTGTGTGTCCAGAGTGTGTCCAGAGTGTGTCCAGAGTGTGTCCAGAGTGTGTCCAGAGTGTGTCCTGTGTGTCTGAAGTGTGTGTGTGTCCAGAGTGTGTCCTGTGTGTGTCCAGAGTGTGTCCAGAGTGTGTCCAGAGTGTGTCCAGAGTGTGTCCTGTGTCCAGAGTGTGTCCAGTGTGTCCAGAGTGTGTCCAGAGTGTGTCCAGAGTGTGTCCAGAGTGTGTGTAGAGTGTGTCCAGACCAGAGTGTGTGTCCAGAGTGTGAGTGTGTCCAGAGTGTGTGTGTGTCCAGAGTGTGTCCTGTGTGTCCAGAGTGTGTCCTGTGTGTCCAGAGTGTGTCCTGTGTGTCCAGAGTGTGTCCAGAGTGTGTGTGTGTCCAGAGTGTGTCCTCCTGTGTGTCCACGAGTCCAAAGTGTGTCCTGTGTGTCCTGTGTGTCCAAAGTGTGTCCCGTGTGTCCTGTGTGTCCTGTGTGTCCTGTGTGTCCTGTGTGTCCAGAGTGTGTCCAGAGTGTGTCCAGAGTATGTCGTGTGTGTCCAGAGTGTGTCCTGTGTGTGTCCAGAGTGTGTCCTGTGTGTCCAGAGAGAGTGTGTCCTGTGTGTCCAGAGTGTGTCCAAAGTGTGTCCAGAGTGTGTCCAGAGTGTGTCCTGTTCCAGTGGAACGTTTGACCTTCAGTGTCCCGCCTCGTCCCCTCTGCGTCTCCACTACAGAATTTACAGTGGACAGAAATAGGCGCCGTGATTGGACGATCTCGAATGGGTTTGTGACGGGCGCCGGGTCTCGATATACGACCCGGAGACAGCGCGGTGGAAAAGCTGTACGGTGGACTAAAGTGGACTAAAGTGGACTAATGTGGACTAAAGTGGGTTAAAGTTGTGTGTGTCCAGACCAGCGTGTCAGAGCCTGATCCCCTCAGATCTCAGAAGCTCAGGAGGACCGGGTCTGGACTTGAACGGAGACACTGGGAAAATCAGGAACCACAGTGGAGCGCAAAAACTTTCATTGTTTCTAACACTACTGTGGGCTAAAATGGGCTAAAACCAGTGGCAAAAACTGTCGTTGTGTCCTTAGGCAAGACACTTCACCCACATTGTCTAGTATGAAAGTGGTGTGTGTGTGTGAGTGATGGTGGTGGTCGGAGGGGCTGATGGTGCAGATTGGCAGCCTCGCCTCTGTCAGTCTGCCCCAGAGCAGCTGTGACTACAGTAGTAGTTTACCACCAGCAGGTATAGAGTGAATGAAATGTGCTATACAAATAAAAACTTGCTTAATTATTTACTTACTTACTAATTTGTGTTAAAATTGGCTGAAATTGCATAAAATTGGCAAAAATGGGCTAAAAATGACCAATGGCGCAGTCTACCCCAGGGCAGCTGTGGTTACAATAGTATTTTACCTCCACCGATTATGAAGTGAATAAATAAAGCTCTGTAAAGTGTCTTTGTGACATATGTCTGTGAAAAGAGCTATAGAAATAAAAACTTACTTACTAATGTGGATTAAAATGGGCTAAAATTGTATAAAATTGGCCAAAAATTTGCTAAAAACTGGCAATAAAATTTGAAAAAAATTGACAAAAATTTGCTACTAACAGCTAAAGTGGGCTAAAATTAGAAAAAAAAAAAAAAAAAAAGCTAAAATATGGCTCAAATGGGAGGCGCCAGAGGCAAAAACTGTCATTGTGTCCTTAGGCAAGACACTTCACCCACACTGTCTAGTATGAAAGTGGAGTGTGAGTGAGTGATGGTGGTGGTTGGAGGACCGATGGTGCAGATTGGCAGTCTGTCCCAGGGCAGCTGTGGCTACAATAGTATTTTACCACCACTGATTATGGAGTGAATAAATAATAATAATAATAAGAACTGTTTTTGTGATATATTTATGTGAAAAGCGCTATAGAAATAAAAACTTACTTACTTATTTACTTACTAATGTGGGTTAAAATGAGCTAAAATTGGTAAAAAAAAAAAAAAAAAAAAAAGTGTTTAAAAAAATCTAAAAATTTGTTTAAAAAATTGGCCAAAAATTTGCAAAAAGAAATGGCAAAAATGGGCTAATAAAGGCTAAAGTGGGCTAAAATTTGAAAAAAATTTGGCCAAAAATTTGCTAAAATTGGCTAAAATGAGGGCCGCCAGTGGCAAAAACTGTCATTGTGTCCTTAAGCAAGACACTTCACCCACATTACATCTCCTGGTCAGAAAGGGAGTGTGTGTGTGACGGTGGTGTTGGTCGCAGATTGACAGCCACACTTCCGTCAGTCTGTCCCAGGGCAGCTGTGGCTACAGTAGTAGTTTACCTCCCCTCCTCCTCACTTCAGTCTTAACGATGTGCGGACGAGTGACTGGAGCCTCAGACGACTGTGACTAAAATTAAAATTAAAATTAAAATGAAAGTGTAGTGTTAGTGTAGTGAAACGCAGTGGCAGGTGTGTGGTCGTTGGCGCTCACATGTGTGTTTAATAGAGGGATTAGTCCTGGTGCATTATGGGTCTTCGGGGAGCTGTGTCCACTTGTGTCCAGGCTATTTACGAACTGTTTGACCCTGGTCGCTACGGTAAACATCGCCCACGAGCCACCGAGTCTGCCGGGGAATGGTGCTGAAAGTAACATCCACTGACTCTAAAAAGACATGTCTGCTCTTATAGATCTGGTATTTTCATATTTTCAAGTCATTCTTTTGGAAATGTGGATGGAAACTTGGATGAAAAATCCAGTGAAATGTGATGTTTGAGAGGCAGAGGCAGCAGTGGCACCGTGTGAATTCAAGTGAAGCTTTGAGTCATTCACTGGATCAAATCCAAACAAACTGTGAGGGTGGCAGATTTCAACTGTATTTTTCCATTAGTGCTGCGTTTTCAAATATCACATCATGTGTTTGAGGAGGTTTAGACGCGTCCACACTGTTCATGTTGAACTCCTCTCACACTCAGGCACAGACACAGACACCAGGTTTTACTGACGGACCCGTGTCTGTGCCTCCAAACAAACCACAATGTCCCTTCATGATCCTGCAGATCTGTGGAATTACTCAGACTTAAAACACAAACACGTAACTTTCACCTGCCTGAGTCCTTCAACGGTTAAAGCCAAACTCCGGAACATTCTCCACGGAGTCAGGTGGATTTTTATTAAGTTCACAACATTGCAGAAGGACACTGAATGCTGAACATTGAAAAGTGTCTTGCTCACGAGCTGAAGAAGTCCGCGGCCTCCGCGGTGCTCTCGAAGCTCGTGTCCGCGCTCGCGCTCCTGACCCCGGGTCCTCGTGGCTCGCGCATCAACGGGAGGAACGTGTCACTGTGGCACGCGCGCACGGCTCCGCTCGCGTCCTCGCCGCTGCCGCACGAGAGTCTGTGCGAGCCGTGCGCGCACCCGAGCAGCTCCGCCTGGCACGAGCGCAGCGCCATCAGCTCGATCTCGTGCTTGGCCGCGGTCTCGAGCACCTGTTGCTTGTTGTAGAACAGGACGAAGTTGTTGATGATCGGGTGGATCGGCAGCGCGATGGCGATCACCCCGCACAGGAAGCTGATGGCCGCGTTGCACCGGCCCAGGGTGGTCTTTGGATACACGTCCCCGTAGCCCACGGTGGTCATGGTGATGACCGCCCACCAGAAGGACTGCGGGATGCTCGTGAACAGCGTGTCCGGGTGGTTCTGCTCCATGGTGTAGCCCAGAGCGGAGAACAGGAACACGCCCACCCCCATGTACATGAGCAGGAGACCCAGCTCCTTAAAGCTGCTCTTCAGCGCGGAGGTCAGGGTCTGCAGTCCGGACGAGTGCCGCGCCAGTTTGAAAATACGCGCGATGCGCATGATGCGTAACGCCTGCACCGCCTGCTGCACGTTCGCCAGCTCCATCACCCCCGCGCCGAACGACGTGAGCACGAGCACCACGTAGAAAGGCATGATGGCCATGAAGTCAATGATGTTCATGAAGGCCAGCATGAATTTGACTTTGTTCGGTGAAGACACGAGGCGCAGCACGTACTCGATGGTGAACCAGCCGATGCACACCGTCTCGATCATCTCCAGAGTGGGGTGCTCCGTGAGCGCGCCCTCCGCGTCCTCCACCTGTAGGTCCGGGATGGTCCCCACGCACATGACCACGGACGAGATGAGGATGAACACGAAAGACACTATGGCGATGATGTGCGCGGGCAGAGAAGACTCGGGCTTCTCCATGAGCCTCCACACACACGCCTGGAAGCGCTGCCAGCCCCCCGCGTTCGGCTCACCCTCTCGGTCCACCAGGATGGTCCGCACCTTCTCCGCGATCTCCGCCAGCTCGTCCTGCACCTCCTTCAGGTGACACTTACAGCAGTCGTCCAAACAGTCCGCGCCGATCCGCCAGTACTCCATCTCCTTGAGGAAGCAGATGGGGCAGATGCCGCGCTTCATGTGGATCTCTCCGTAATAATACAGCTCGATGATGCATTTGAACGCCTCCGGGTCCCTGTCAAAGTAGAACTCGCCCGTGTCAGAGTCGTAGTCGTCACATAAAGTCAGGATTTCCTCTGGAGCTCGGAGCGAACCGCTCACCAGCTCCGCCAGGCGAGTCTCGGGGAAGCGGCTCAGCACGTCTCCGTGTAGCACCTGTTTGACGCCGCCGATGTTCACCACCACCTCGGTCTCCTCACTCGCCTCGGAGCCGTTACAGTCCGCATAACGTGACCTCTGAATCCCCCACATTATGAACTAGACTCCAGAAATAGAGAAAAGCAGATCAAATGTCCACAGCGCTCTCCTATATCCAAAAGACGCGTGGGTGTCGTGCGTAAAAGCGCACCATAACCAGGTTTTCTCCGTAAATCCGAGCTCATTTGGCTCCGAGCTGACCGCAGCTCCAAGTCCTGACAGTCTGAGCGCTGTTTGGCAGTGAGCAGTGCGCCTGTGCGCTCCGGGAAAGTTGGCATTGAAGTGCGCGTGTGTCAAGTCACACAGAAGACAGAAGGCTTTTCCGGAAACAGCTTTTGGACAAAATGAGCAAAAATTAACTTAGTGTAGTGTTTATTTATAATTAAAATCATAAGCAAGTTATTTTAAAAGAAATATTAGAGTCACAACTAGTTTCTACTCATATTTATCCACTATGTTCTACGTTTTTGAATCATGTCGCCCTCGTGCGCTTTTATTTACAGCTGTAGTTTCCGGCGTGGCTCCGGCTCGTGCGCGTCTTGACGCATGGCGCAGAGAAGCGTCTCCGCCGCATGTCTGATTTTGTGAAGCGGCATTAAAACATAGTCAAGTCAATGAGCGACACACAACCTGACCGCGTGTCACGGGCGTTTTACGCGCCACTCAGGAGCAAAGAGCCGCAGTTTGGCGAATTATACAGAGGACAATGACCCCAGACACGAGTCGAATCAACAGATTATAGATCGTCACGCATCTTTACGAGGCCACAGTAAATGTAAGCGTAACCTGCTGGTTCTGATTGGTTACAGATTCTCTTGTGCTGTTGAGAGTTTTATTGTGAGTCTCATAAACTAGACTAGAGCCTGCGCTTCTACTGCTGCAAAAGTACCGAACCTACAACCTAAAGTATTACCACCAAAGGATCTTGCCACCAAGTGTTAAAAATATCAGAAAAATCCACATCCAAACACAGTCTAATGCAGTGGCACCGTAGTGCTGCTCTGCAGACCCGGTGGACTCGTGCACAGGTGACCGCTTCACCCTTTAGTGTTTGTCTCCCTCTGGTGGACACAACAGAAATTGAATCATTTGTGATAAAAATATTAAAATTTATTCGTTGCTTTCATTCCTATATTTGGTAATTGTATATTATTTATATTTTTATTAAAATTTTATGGCTTTCAAATGTAACTCTGTGAAATCCCCCTTTGAACTGAAATGACTTAACAAGGAAGAGGTATTATAAGTCTATGAACTTGGATACTCTCATACAAATAATAATAAAAGTAATCAATAATAATAAATAAAAATACACACAAAAATGTTCAACAGATGTAACAGTTTATTCCTTTAAGTGAAGCATGTGGATCTTTGCTACTCAGTCTCTGGAGGCTGTTGTACAGTAGATATAGTGGTTCTTGGGTGTTCACTCTTTGGAGGCAGTGATCTAAAAAACAATGCAAGTCTTATGATTTAGGTTCTATATTATTGATTACATACAAATGTTTGGAACAGTCTTCAACAGTTGAAAAACAACAGAATCTCAGCCAAAAAGTGCATACTAACAGCAAAGATAAGCGCAAAAGCTCCCAGGTCTGAAACGACCCGGTCTGAAAGGGTAAGAACAAACCAACCGAAATGAAAATCAATTATTATATATATATATATATATATATATATATATATATATATATATATATATATATATATATATATATATATAATCACACAATATGTTAAACAGATGGTTCTTGGGTGTTCACTCTTTGGAGGCCGTGGTCTGAAAAAACAATGCAAGTCTTATGATTTAGGTTCTATATTATTGATTACATGCATGTTTTTGTATTTTCTTACTTCGTCTGAAAGCGCCATAAAAAGCACCAAAACAGGCAGCAGAGATTAAAATGATCCCCAGAGAAATCAACACGGTTAAAGGTAAGGGAGTCTTTTCTGCAAAACAAATAAAGGATAAGGTCAAAATCATACATTTTTAATTTTTTTATTTTAATTTTTTTTATTGAAACTGTATATGGCAGGTCTTAAATCCTTTTGAATCCTACTAAACATATAAACTCCTCCCAAAACCACATTTCAAACAGAGTTGTTAGAAGAGGAGGGATAAAGGGGGCGGTTAAGGTAAAACAACTCAAATCATGACGGTGGCGCTCACCACAACTTTTAGAATAAGGTGAATAAGGAACAGTGTGATTGGTCTAAATGTGAAATATCCACATTTCAAACTCCGCCCCTGTAATCAGAAACACCTGACTGTAATCATACCAGTCCTGTGTGATGTCACATAGTACTTGAAACTGCACAGACAGTGAAGGCAGAACAGACTCTGAACTAAACTGGTCAATAAAGAAAGATAAATAGTAGATCATGAGATTCAAACATCATAAACATCTGGTACAAAAAGTAGATTTCATGAACTGAAAAATCCTCTTGGTCGAGTCGTCTTCACTCTAAAACTTTTGTCCAGTTGACAGAACTGGATTCTCTTTTGTGATGGATTCTGTCTGGATGATTTAGGGATCACACAGATTTAAGATCAAATAAAATAATCCTTTTATTGTTTACATGGGAGAAATGTGTCCTGGGACAGAGGGTCACATGTTTTAAAACAAAAACAAGACAACACAGAAACATAAACCCAAAGAGACATGATCCACCAGAACATAAATAAATAAAAGACCAAGTATGACCACGAGTGACACAAAAACAGGACTTTTAAGTCACTTTATACAGGACAGGCCTTCACAGTCTTATATTCTATTAATAACTGCACTAATCCCTTGGCCTATGTGCAGTTTTATTTACAGATTTAGTGCTTAGTTCCACTTTCCAATTGTTTTATGAACATTTATACACTTTGTGAGAGAAATCACCAAGTGTAGTGTTGAGTCTCAGATACAAAAGTAAATAGATTTGTTCAAAAATGAAGGCAGACATAATCCTAAAGCCATTTTACTGTCTCACCTTCTGTTTGTTTTGTTTTTTCTTTTTCTTCGAGGTTGGTGATGATGTCTCTTGGCTCCAGAGAGCTGAAACACACACTTGTACCTCTTCCAGTCCTCTCTCCTGACCTGAGATAGATCCAGGTCCGCTCGGGTCTGGAAGGTTCCGTCTCCGTTGGGCAGGATGTCTCCATACTCCACATCCTCATGGAGCTCCTCTCCATCTTTAGTCCAGAACATTAGGGCTTTGTCTGGGTAGAAGCGTCTGGCCTGACAACTGACATATGACCCAGGTCTATGTGTGAGATGAATGTTGGGGGGCACTGAAAAAAACAAATATTGATTATTACTACTACTTATACTGCCCATTGATGTCATCGCGATCGCTAATCTTGAAACTCCAAGGATTCAAAAGAATAATTCATCAATAATTGGCGATCTTGGCGACCTTAAAGGGCGAAAGCGGCTTGACGCGGCTTGACTTGAGTAGTAAAATCAGCTGATCGATTTTATGAATGAAAGCGCCGCTACGCTAAGCGGCTATCAGGCCAACAGCTGCACCGCATGGAAGAACCGAAGTTGTTTAAAGACGGATTTACACAGCATTTTTCTAAACAAATAAAACATAATACTGACGCTCTGTGAACGTATAATGCGTCAATGCAAAGAGCGATTAAAAGCAATGAGCCAAAATGAGCGATGAGGAAAATCAGATTCAACACTGAAAAAAAAGGTTGCTGGATTTGCGTACAAAAGTTCTGGAAAGCGGTTGCATGCAATAAAATTATGTTTAGGCTTTGAAACTTTTTCGATCCCCGTACACATATTTTCTCAGAACATGAACGTCACTTTTTCATGTTGATGAAATTTTATAAAATCCTGCTGAATATGCATATTAATCTTATGTTACCTTATCGTGAAATGTATAAGTATTATAATTTAATTGAATTGATCTACAGTAATTCTGTAAAATAAAACAAAAACAGTCTTTAGTTTTCCACAGTTCTGTCTTGTCTAAACAGAATCAAACACACAGAGAGCACAAGTACAGAGACACACAGTTTGGAGCTGGACAGTTGAAGATTTATTCCAGTGAAGCTCTGGTTCTGTGGACACAGAATAACACATGATGACACATTCTGATGATTTACTCTCTGTTCTACAGTTTAAAATACACTTAAAGTACTTATTACTAAATAATGGACCAGAACAGAAGAACAAAAACATTAGAAGTGTTCTGCAGAAAATAAAACTCACCATGTGCTGCTTTTCTTCCTCTAAACAGCAGTAACAGGGAGGGCATCTGTATAAAGTCTCCTAGTGCCACATCACCTTGTACAAGTATGATAACAGTTTCAATAGGAAGTTCATTTTGAAAAAATTTAAAAATAATTTTAGTGGTTTACTTACTTTGTTCATCTGTGTCTGTGTTTTGTTGGTTCTCAAACATTTCCTTTTTTTCTGAAACATCACTGTAACATTCATGAACTTCCCCACAGCTACAGCAGAAACCTGGACGTCACTCTGTGTTTGTAGACGACTCTGGAACAAACACAATCACATATGAGTACAACTGTCACACTCTTGTAGATGGACGGTCAAAGACAATTTTTTTCATGGAAACAGTCCTTACATTGACTCTAATTTCAAATAAAACACCACAAACATGTTTTAACAATGACGACATTCTAGGCCAGAAAACATAACATTTTGAAAAGTTTTACCTCCAGATCGCTCTGATATCTCCTGTCCACACTGCATGTCCTCCTGCTCCTGATCTGTCCTGTGTCCTGTTACATTTCATTTTCCTCCTAAAGTTTTGGGGAGGAAATTCGAGGGACGAGCCTCACCAGAGATTATAATAAAGTCATTTCCCAACCTGATTAAAACATGCAGGTCCAACATCGACCACAATCAAGTGACCTTTGTAAGATTTAAACATGCTTTACAGAGAATCATAAAAAAGTTACGTGTTTGTGTTTGCAATTTGAGCAACCCCCCTCGGACCATGTTTTCAGTGAAGGCGGGGCAGAAAACGCAGAGGCTCAATACAAATCTTGCGTCGCATAAAGGAAAGCCAGATTGGGAGTATGCACGCACAGAATAAATGAAATAAAACTGTTAATGGTGGATGATGTGGATTTAAATGAGTTTGAA